TGTGTGTGTGTGTGTGTGTGTGTGTGTGTGTGTGTGTGTGTGTACAGAGAGATTTCAAATGCTCCAAATGCAGTAATATCTGCTGTAGTGTTTCTAAGGTAATGAACTTTGTCTTGCCCAGTTTGTGCAGAGGCCCAGTCTCTGTGCTCCGTGCTGTCAGAGGCAGCAGACGTGGGGCTGGCCCTGGATCTTTCTCCTGAGCTGACTCGCGCCGTCACCAACGTTATCTGCTCTCTCTGCTTCAACTCGTCCTACTGCCGAGGCGACTCAGAGTTTGAGAATATGCTGCAGTACAGCCAGGGCATTGTGGACACTGTGGCCAAAGACAGCCTGGTGGACATTTTCCCCTGGCTGCAGGTAAGCAGCAAGAACTCAGAGCAGAAACAATCAGACCGCAGTGTAAATGTAGGCAATCAACAGAAAGATAAAGGCCGCCTCGTTGCGTTTCCTTAGTGGGATTACTGCCACTCTGGTGTTTCTTAGAATTTATGGTGAAAGAATGTGAAGAGTGTCTGATCCACACACATTTGCAGTGCATGTTTATAATGATGCTAGCACCATCGAGCTCTCGCAGCACATTGTGAGCGATGAGCAAGAAGGTGACAGTTGCACCGTGATGTTTATCAGGCTGTTTTTGTCTTTATCACAGATCTTTCCTAATGCAGACCTACGTCTCCTGAAACACTGTGTTTCCATCAGAGACAAACTTCTACAGAAGAAATTTGATGAACACAAGGTAACCCTTTAACCACGGGGCCATTAGTGTTTGAAATTTAAAGGTAGTGTACAGTACAAACTGCTGTCTTGGTCATGTGCCCCGTACCTTATACCACATACTTGGTTCCTTTCATTTGTACAAATGCATCGGCAACATTTGAGGCAGAAAAACCACAATGTTGTAGTAGAGCTGTGATCCTGTGCAGCTGTGAGATGGTGGACATTATCACACAGAGACATACTTGACTACGGCGGTCACATTAGGTTGCTTTGCTAAATAAATACAAAGCGTTCTGTACGCTGTATCCTGTACGCTGGCATGCTGCTCCCTCACAGGTGAATTACAGCGACCACGTGCAGAGAGACCTGATAGACGCTCTGCTAAGAGCCAAGCGCAGTGCGGAGAACAACAACACATCAGAGATAAGTGCAGAGTCCGTGGGCCTGAGTGATGACCACATTCTCATGACAGTGGGAGACATCTTTGGCGCTGGCGTGGAAACCACTACCACTGTGCTCAAATGGGCCATAACGTACCTGATTCATCACCCAGAGGTAAGGCTCGATCAGCAGCAGTGTTTCCACGAGGCGCGTGGCGTGGGTTTCAAAGATGTCTGATGAAAACGACCCTTCTCCTCCTCTCTGTCTGTGGTCTAAAACATGTTTAAAACTCTGAATCTAATTAAGTTTAAGCATCTTTTTACAAACTATACCTATGCAACATCATCAGCACACACAAAGTCATTAATAAACTCAGTTGTTGTCAAGCTGCAAGAAAACCACAGCTGAATGAAGCATACAGGCTGCAGGTGGCTGCAGCTGCAGATCAGGTTACTCACCTGCCTGGAGTGTGAATGTGAAAGCACACATATGAAAACATGCCAAGTCTCACAACACGTAAGTGATGTTAATCTGAACTTGTGTAGTAGCGTGCCACGCCCTTTATTCCCATTAATGTCCAACTTGCAGCAGCCAATGGGAATAATATTTTTATTGATTCTAATCAAATGCAACAGAGAAAAACGTGTGAATGCTGAGTGTGTGAAGCCGTTAAAGAGCATCTCCGATGCACAGTGACTCTACTGCTTCATGTTTAGGTGCAAAGACGTATCCAGGATGAGCTGGACAGGACGGTGGGTGACAGCCGCTCTCCTAAACTCACCGACCGAGGCAGTCTGCCCTATCTGGAGGCCACCATTAGGGAGTTATTACGGATTCGCCCCGTGGCACCTCTACTCATCCCCCACGTGGCTCTCTGTGACACCAGGTACAGTGATGCTCGCTGAGTTCACCCATTTAATAAAGCCATGTTGACACACAGCAGAGGTGACTGCTGACTGCGTCGATCTATTAAAATGACACACTTCTGTGAAAAGTGACCAGGCTGTTTATTAGGACAGCAAGCTTACTGCTCTGTACTGACAAGTAGGACTGATCTGGGATCTTCTGTTTCTGAATGAAGTCTTAAAAATACATTTACCTGATGCACAAACACCGTTGTCAATCCCATGAGTGAACTGGGAGCTCTTGTCTCTGTAGCCTTGGAGATTTCACAGTGAGGAAGGGAACTCGAGTCATTATCAACCTGTGGGCTCTGCACCATGACGAGAAGGAGTGGAAGAACCCAGAGCGGTTTGACCCTGGTAAGAGCAAACATCTGTCCACAGTTTAATATCCAGTTATGGAAACTGATTTTATTCTCTGTTTGGTTTCTTCCCTCAGTCAAGGATGATTAATGGTGATAGAAAGGCAGACACTGTCTCTGGCTCCTATCATTGTTATGGCTTTTGGCTACTTAAGTTAATACACAATAACAGTGACATCAGGGTGCTTTGAATTGTATGTTAAAGACCCGACAAACACCCTGTTTTTGATCGTTTTTGGGTTGAAGAAGTCACCTGGATGAGTGACGAAACGTTTCTGCCACTAAAAAAACGGCCACGTCCAGATGAACAGAATCAACCTTTGGGGATTTACTTACCTGGATCACTGAGCATGCATCAAACGATAATTTTTGGACTTTCAAATTCTCCAAGGAATCTGAAAGTCCAAGGAGAAAGGACTCTAATAGCAGCAAGTCAGTGTCTCACCAGGAAACCCTCACCTTAGGGGATACCTGGAGTCTTGTTCCCGTTTGATTCACCGCCACTGTTTTAAGATCGAGACAAATACATGAAGTCCTGAACCAACATATGTATACAGGCTGGATCTGACAGTTCTTTTAGTTTAGCTTCTGTGACCATCACAGCTGGTGAAACCTGTTGTTGTTGCTCTGCAGGCCGGTTCTTGAATAGTGAAGGCACAGGACTGACGATCCCATCACCCAGCTACCTGCCCTTCGGTGCTGGGCTGAGAGTATGTCTAGGTGAGGCCTTGGCCAAGATGGAGCTCTTTCTCTTCCTGTCCTGGATCCTGCAGCGCTTCACTCTGACTGTCCCACCAGGCCATGATCTGCCAAGTCTGGAGGGAAAGTTTGGAGTGGTCCTGCAGCCGGCCAAGTACAAGGTGAATGCCACAATCAGACCAGACTGGGCAAGACATAAGTGCCAGGCAGAATAGTCCTATGGCTGTGAATACGTACGCACCATCAAGAAGGAAAGCAAGCTTGCAGCACTGTGACAATCTTATTTTTCTGAAGTGTAACAGTCTCCTGTAACAGCTCCAAACAGTCTCTTTATTTTTCTACTGTGAGGAGACATATCGGCCGATGTCGCTGACTCTGCTGACATCAGGAGGCAGGATGCTTTCTCATTTTCAAATGTACAAGGTGACGTCTGTGATGAGATCACATAACACAGGATGTACACCCAAAATTTACTGCAAAAACGAACCCACAACACAAAGATGTAACCAGGTAATCTCAAAATGTAACCACTTTATTTTGATCCTGAGAACACAAATAAAGGTTTACACGGTAGGAATGTACTGCAGTGAAAGGAACAGGATGTCCGGTGTGGAGATACAGAAATTCTTTTATTGCTGCCGTATAACCTGCATCATTATAACTGCATTAATAACATTCTTTACAGCATCATTCCACTTAATAATATTTCTCACAGTCTTGATACTGCATTACAGCTGTTTATTGAAGATGTCCATTTGAGGATCCTTTTATTATGATAACTTTTATTACAGGTACAGCCAGAAGTATTTTATGCACATTGCATATCTGTGCTTATTTCAAGTTGATGTTCGGTTCATTAAAGCTTCACTGGCGTGACTGTCCAGGTGATCCATGCTGAGGGAAACTAGAACATAGAAGGATGACTGCATACATGCTTACAGTACATATAACACATATAATCTAGGAATGTGTCCGGCCTGAGGCCTTAACTCATTTGGAGTCTCACTATATTTTACTCTACTTGGCAACAGATGACCAGAGTCAATAATTAGCCTCAGACGCTCTGAGGGCTTGAAGTTTATTGCCTTGTTTGGAAGGTGTTATAGAAAAGAGAAGTTCTATGTCTGTTTGTAGCCATTAAAGATGTACGATTAACTGTGACTACTGTCTGGAACCTATTCTGATCTGTCATTGACGCCATGGGGGGGCGTGTACCCCACTGCTTTGTAAGTGTCCACAACATGTATTTTGGTCAGAGGACATGTGCTGATGTTTTCTCCTGGTAAATAAACTCATCGTTTGATTGCACTTCTCTGGGGCCTCCGTGGTTTGTCTCACTGCTCTGCATTGATTGATTTCGCCACACCCTCTATCAAATGTAATGTTTATGTTTATGTTTACTCAATATAGTAAATATACTTGCATATACATATAAGTAGGAGAACTGCTTAAGGACAAGGATGTATACATAAACATATCCAGACCCAGCTCGCAGGAACCTGTGACAACAGTTTGTCTCCTGTTGCTCCGGCTTTTCTTTTAATTTGGTGTTGAGTCATAAACGAATCATCGTCCTGCATCTGCACCCTTCATCAGTGTGACTGCAATCACACCTGCAGCGTCACATCAAACGTTCCCATTTTATCCTTCTCACCTTACTACTCTACATTGTTGCTCTGTCCATTAAGGGCCATTCTGTTTTATTTAAAGAGCAAATATTGGGCCCATGTGGAAACGTATGCTCTAAAACGACCTCTTTCTATGTTTTTATGTCTCATACATGTAACTGCAAAAGCACTTCAAACCAGTTTGTCATACAAGAAAAATTTAATATGACACGAGAAACAAGTTAAAAGAATTACCTCACAAAATACTTCAATGTGGCATCACCAGGTTCTCACCCAACAAGAATCAGATGCTGCGTTTAGACTTTGGGCTTCAGGATGTATATCATACAAAC